GTGAGATGGGCTGACATCGAACTGGGGTGCACGTCAAGAATTAAGTGGCAGCAAGAAGTGTTTTCACCACCTTGCCCACTCATTAGGACTTACGTTTTTTCTTAGTTATTTTGGGGGATCTTTGGGGAATACGAGAACCGCGTGTGAAAGAGATTGATTCACGTGCCGTGAGGGACCTGACTGCTATTGTGGAACGTCGAACCGTTCTTTTCCCCATCTGTGCTATCTTTCTGGAAGGAAGCTGGCCTCAGCAGCAGTAGCAACGATGATGCGGTACGTGTGTATGTGTGTGGGATAGGTGTGTTCTTGTCCTTGCATGCAACCCTCCTGCTGGTTGGAAGTGGGCGGGGGGAGGACGTTGCGGCACACGGCGTGGTCTATCGGTATCAGCCTTGAGTGGCTCGTTGGAGCCGTTTAATCGGTGCTGCAACTGGCATTGACTGTGCACTGCGTCGTCGCCCAGGTGCCAGCTGGTTGCCCTGGGCTGTTGCAGGTTGCCCGGAGGAGACACGCACTTCCTCGGGGGCGCCGTGGCACACCGTGCTGCTGGGAAGTGCGTGGTCTCTTCTTGGCATGACGCGAGGATCGGAGGATTCGTCCCACTGCCGTCGTGGAATGGCGGTTTGCTCTTTTTTGATGTGCTCTCCTCGCTTGCTGCTGCTGCTGGGCTGAGGCAGAGGGGGCCGTGCGGTTCCTCCCAGCGGAGCACCAGCAGGGGCAGCAGTGCCGGCTGTGCACAGTCACGCCCCTCTCGCCGCGCCGCGCGGACCGCTGCGTTTGTGTCGGGCCTGACGGCGAATGTGGCGCGGGGGCTCTCGTTGCTGGGCGTGGCTGATCCGCTGGCGGCTGTGTGAAGAGTGTTGCAGTGAGGGTGTGGAATATGCCGGAATGCCTACTGCCGCCACACCTCTTGCGCAAAGCAGGCAATGAGCTCGACACAGTAGCCAGCATGTGTGCTTGTCAGACTGCTGTCTTTCCTCCTTTCCGTGCTGCTTTTGTTTTTTGTGCAGACACAGCATACGCTTTTACAAAGACCAACAACCACCATGCCTGACACAGCAGCATACGCCATCAAGACGCACGTTGCCGTCCCGCAGAAGGCACCGTACGGTGTCGATGTGGTGGCGGGCAAGGAATACTACTGGTGCACCTGTGGCCTCAGCAAGAACCAGCCCTTCTGCGACGGTGCCCACCAGGCATACAACGAGGAGCACAAGACCCAGCTGAAGCCCATGGCGTTTACTGCTGCCAAGACCGAGAAGGCTTACCTTTGCGGCTGCAAGCAGACNCCAGCCATACAACGAGGAGCACAAGACCCAGCTGAAGCCCATGGCGTTTACTGCTGCCAAGACCGAGAAGGCTTACCTTTGCGGCTGCAAGCAGACAAAGAAACCACCGTACTGCGATGGTGCACACACCAGCATCTGATGACATAAGGTATGTGCTCTCTTGCTAATATATTAGGTGAGATGGGCTGACATCGAACTGGGGTGCACGTCAAGAATTAAGTGACAACCAGAAGTGTTTTCACCACCTTGCCCACTCATTAGGACTTACGTTCTTTCTTAGTTATTTTGGGGGATCTTTGGGGAATACGAGAACCGCGTGTGAAAGAGATTGATTCACGTGCCGTGAGGGACCTGACTGCTATTGT